ATATATATATATATATATATATAAGAGATTGTGAGATGCTAATTCTTTATGAATACAACAGTTCAAATTCGAATATTCTTAGGCTTGTTTCCATTTGATGTAAACGTCTATCAATAAGCGAGTTTCGACTGATGACATTAACTGCAGAAATATTTTTTAATGAAAAACATCATCTTTTCTCTTCTTCATGATACATTCATGTACCAATATATACGAAAATAATAAAAAAATAAATATTGACCATGTCGTATGTAAAATCCATTTTCCCCTAGAGATTGATAAGCCATGCATGTTGAACAAGAATTGTGAGAGAGAGAAAATAGAAAACCTGTAGAACGAAAGAGAGATACACCGAAGAGGAAGATAGTGTAAGAGATATCTTTTATGCTTTGTAATTGTTGGTAGTGTTGATTAATAAAAGCAGTGCTCCTTTTTCTGGTGGATGTAGGCGCCTTGATTTTGGCCGAACAATGTTAAATTTTGTGTTGTTTTTATTCGTCAATTATTGATGTTCATCATACAAACATAATTAGGGTTTGCATGTCCTGCGAGAGAAGGCCTAGCGGTTGGAGCAAGTGAGCATGTGTCAATCGACTCAGATTCAAATTCCCTTGCCAACGGTCACTAGGCTCTAACACGATCGATATATTTATACTTGAGTACACCATATTCTGGGTTCGATGTTAGTAATTTCTAGCATATTTATACTTGAGTAAATCGTATTTTGGATTCAATGTTAGTAGGTGTCACAGGGGTTTCATTCCTCGAGAAATTTTCGCCCATGGGGCCTGACTTGCCCACCAAATCAGTCAGTCTTCCTCTCGATTCTCTTCGCACAAACGCACACTAACACAAGTTTTTTAAGCCACGTAAAGAATAACAAGAGTATGCAGTGAAAAACAACACACAAGCACGTTTACGGGCAATGCCCAACCTTTATATTAATTTCCCACAAAGAATACAAAAGAGACTAAGGTGCACACACAAAATCCTCTTTCAGAATGCCCACGATTGCAATCTGAACTCTCTAATGCTAGATGGGCCGGATTTGTGCACTCATAGCCATATAAATACAAGGAAGAAGGTAGTTTTCACATAAAACTACCTAGGGACACTTGGTAGCAAACTAGTCTAACACTTGGCCAACTATTACAAGTAATAAGGGGCAGTTTTGCATGCTTTTCAGGCCTCAACCGCTCCGCAACTTCCCTCAAAACCGCCCACATGGCTGGTTTTCGAGGCCCATCTTGATCGGGCGCGCGCAAGCGCACCAAACGGCCCAAAACAGCCTGGCCGATTGCTTGGCAGCTCGTCTGCCTTGCCTTGTCCGCACACTTTGTTCGCCTTGCCAATTACTTGCCAGTTATTTGCCCACACGGTCATTAGCACGCCCGCACATCGGGCTGTCTTTTTTGACTTGCCAACCGGTCGTGGCAACTTGCCCACACTTGTCAAGTCGTGGTCGATTTCCCTCGAACGTTCGTTTGCCCAAGTTCTCAGCCACATGCCGATCACCACCCACGCTTGTCCGCATTCCCTGCCGAGCAACGCCCATGCCAGCCACAAGTACTTTCGATCACCGTTCCCACTTGAATCAAGCCGTTCCTTGCTTTCTTTGACAAACACCCAAAATGCTTGCCCAACATTCGACCACTCATTGGCCGATTATGTGGTGGTCTTGTGCCAACCCTTGCTTGGCACTCTTTCTCGGCCATGACTCGGCCACACTCGAGTCATAGCTGATGTCATCGACTAAGGGGGTAACAGTAGGGCACTTTACAAATAAGTCCATCAATGGGTACTTATTCATAAAGAGATTCAGACAATAAATCTTTTACAAAAAAGTCCACACATGGTTCAGAGGTTTGTAAAAGACTAAAATAGCCCCTCATACTTTAATGTGCTCCAATTTCATCATTTAATTTAATATAACCTAAATTTGACCCCAAATTTCACAAATTATTCAATTTTGACCCAAAACACATTTTTATGGACAATTTCGTCCGTCACCGTCGTTGAACGCCGGTCTAGGGCGTTGACTTTTTTTTTTCAACTGATTTTTCTGCCACCGGTTTCCGGCGTGTACTTTTTCAATTTTATTTTTTCTTTTTTCTTTCTATAACATCTTTTTTGTTCCGTTTAAACAACAATATTGTTGTAATCGAAAGTAATATTAACTTTATTACTGTTAAACATAGTAAAATTAACTATATTATAGTTTAGCACGGTAATATTGTTATATTAATCTCTAGCACAATAATATTAACAAAAAAAAATCATTATTATTGTGTAATAGAGTAATATTAATATGTTGACTGTTCAACAAATGTAAACATAATAAAAGGCCAAAAGAATTAATATTACCGTGAGCGACAGTAATGAGTCTATAACAACAATAATATTACCATCCACCACAGTAATATTAGAATAATAGACTCAAAAAAAAAATATAATGATGTGGTTGACAACAATATCTTATATATAAAAGAAAGAAACGTTGAGCAACCCTAAAAAACCCTAATGGTATTCTGTAATTATTTATTTTTAATATTTTTTCTCTACTAATTTCTAACTATTTATTTTCAACAATTATCAATCTCCTATTTTCATCAATATATCTCAAATTTTAAGTGATGAAGATAGAAATACCATTTGTTAAATGTTAATCTATATATTTGGATTATAAATATTAATATATAAGATTAAAAAAAAACTAATGTTATATAAAATATGAATAATACTACATTATTAAATTTGACTATGTTAGTGTACTATGTTTTCTTATTATGTATTGAATCGATTTTTTTTTCACTTTCAAAATAATATCTCGTGCATCGCACGGGAGAAAAAATGCTAGTTACTATAACAACAGTAATATTACCGTCAACCACAGTAATATTATTGTGTTTATAGTAATATTACAATTATAGACAGTAATATATATTATTATGTTACTCCATGAATAACTCAAACAAAACCCAAAAACCCAATAAATAATAATATTGATGTGGTTGACAATAATATTATTGTGTTTACAGTTATTTTACTGTCAACGACATAAATATAATTACGTTGACTTATCAACAAATCAAACAAAATTAAAAAAATAAAATAACAAAAAAAATAATAATATTGTCATTGACTCTAATTGTACTGTCAACGGCAGTACAATTACATAAATCTATTGTAAACGGCAGGAACATTACGTTAATGTACTGTCAGTAATAGTATAATTACGTTAATTTAATTACTGTCAGTGACAGTATAATAACCGTTAATGACAGCACAATTACGGTCAACGTTTAGGGCAGGCGTTAAAAAAAACTAAAAAACACTTAAAAAAAGTCAACGCCAGAGACCGGCGGACGCTGAAATCCGGCGGCAAAAAATATTTAAAAAAAAGGTTTTGGAAAAAAAATGTCAAAATAGATTTTTGTGGTCAAAATTGATTAAATTGATGTTACAATTAAGAATTGAGTGTAAATGGTTGGGGTAATTTTGTCATATACATGAATTTTTCCTTTATTTATAATAAATTTTAAGGGCAAATTACGAAAACCCCCCTGAGGTAAGCCTAAATAACGAAAATCCCCCCCATGTTCTCGTAATTACGAAAACCCCCCTTGACTAACGGTTGACCGAATTTTTTTAACCGAAAACGTGAAATGTCTATTATATCCTTCTGTTAAATATGTAAAAAATAAAGGGCAAATTACCAAAACCCCCCTGAGGTAAGCCTAAATAACGAAAATCCCCCCTGACATCCCTTTCAGTTGATGATTTATTGCTTTTATAAATTTATTTATTACTTTGTAATTTGTATTGATAATTTGATATTATAATTTTTTATTTTATTTATTTATATATTTTTCTTAAATTAAACCCAAATATAATCAATCATTATGAATGTACAATGTATTTTTATTGGATTAAAAAAATCAATGAATGAGATTTCAAAATTTAATTATTTTTTATATATAAAATTAATTGCCCTATTTTTTTATTTATATATTTTAATTGATTTTATTTATCCAGAGGAGTATTCATACGGATTTATGCTTTTAGTGTGAATGATGCATGGTTGTATTTCTCGAATTTTAAAATATTTAATTTTATATATAAAAAATAATTAAATTTTGAAATCTCATTCATTGATTTTTTTTAATCCAATAAAAAAACATTGAACATTCATAATGATTGATTATATTTGGGTTTTATTTAAGAAAATAAGTATTTTGTACATTCATAATGACCCCTCATTAAATAAAATGCTTACAATTACCCCCCTAAGGGTAATTTCGTGTACAAGGGCAAAATTGGTATTATGGGAGGAATATTCGGGAGAATCAAAAAGATTCTATTGAGTCTAACACCGTTAGAGCGATTTGTAAGACGTTTGCATACCTCAGGGGGGTTTTCGTAATTACGAGAACATGGGGGGATTTTCGTTATTTAGGCTTACCTCAGGGGGGTTTTGGTAATTTGCCCAAATTTTAATGGAATGGGCTTATTGGTAAAAGAGATATAGTCCCTAAACCCAGAATAATAAAGATGTTTGGTTAGGGACTTATGCACAAAAACCCCCTATTTTTTAATGATCATAGATTCATAGTACAGTGTTTTATATATAACCATGCAGTAATTTCAATGGGAAAATTAGCAAGAACCTCCTCATCTGAGAAATGTAGTTATGGAAACACCTCCTCCCAAAAAATAATTACAGAAAACTCCCTTACCTG